AATAATAATAATAATAATAATAATAATAATAATAATAAAATTAATAATAATAATATAATAGTAATGTAAAATTATATTTATATATTTAATAAAAATATATTCAATATTTATTTGAAATATATTATATATTATTTTTTATGTATATGTATATATATTATATATTTATATATACATTAGTAAATTTCATTCCTCTTCATAATAATACCCTCTAATTTGCCACAGAAAAATGCAAATCAAAGATTTTAACATTTCAAAATGAAATAAGTTATTTAAAATATATTTCTAAAACTATCCAACCCAAACGAAATTTGCATTATTGACTCGCTTAACTCTCTCCATAATATATGATTCAACATTATTATTACTATTTTCAATTACAATTTCAATGGAATAGACGAAAAGGCAATGTTTTTATTACAGATGGTGTTTATTCAGGCTGTCGCTGCAAATCAAACACAGGCTGTATTTATTTGCCTTTGTCAGAGCGTGGTGCAGTCAGCTGGAACTATGCTAATCCTTTGCTTAGCTCAGTTATCTCTCTCTCGCTATCTCTGTATCTCTTTCGCATACCGCTCTTCAGGTTAATTTAGCGGTTTTTGCATAAACAAAAAACTACTTAACTGCTAAGCTGAGCAGAGCTCTATGCGGTTCTTCTTCTTTGCCGCATATGCAAATCCACACAAATTAATTCCGAAATGAACCTTTGAACAGGTTCCTGCTCCTCCTCCTCCTCCTCCTGCTGCTGCTGCTGCTGCCGCACTGCGACAGTTGAATTGCAGCTGCAACTTCATTTGCAACGTCAACGGCAATGCGCATTAACATTGTTTTCATTTTGCCAGCGAGATCTTTTAACATTTGCCAAACCGCTGACGAGCACAACTCTCGACTCAGTCGGCTCTGTCGACTCTGACGCAGCGGAAAAAGGAAATGCCCCGCCCACCCATAGACTACGCCTCGGTGTCCCTTGCAATTTGTATAAAAAGCGCTTTAACCTCTTCATTGCTCAGTCCAATAGCTCATCTACCTCTACCTCGTCGCATCTCATCTCATCTCTGCTCTTCTCTTCTCTTCTCTTCCCTTTCATCTCAGGCTCACATCCGCCGCGAATAGTGGAGCACCCCATAGACACGACCGTGCCGCGACACGAGCCCGCAACGCTTAATTGCAAGGCAGAGGGCTCGCCCACGCCCACAATTCAGTGGTACAAGGATGGCGTACCACTCAAGATACTGCCCGGATCGCACCGCATCACCCTGCCGGCGGGCGGATTGTTTTTCCTCAAGGTAAGTTCTGTGCCAGCGATGCAAATTATGCGACAGTCTGAATGGAGCTGCTCTCACGGGAGTGAGAGATTCCTGCTGGAGTAAAAGATTGCAATGAAGACGTTCACCTAACATTATTTTCGAAATATACACAGATAATATAAGTAATGGGTTGATACAGATAATATTTGTAATTAATGCTGTATATATGAAATGCAACTGCAATTGTTTTATAAGACTCTTATTATATAACTCAATAGAGTTAGCCTCAAGAAAGTGGGCTATGTATGTATATGAACTGCAGATAATGTGATTAAGGCGAAGATAATGAAAATATAATATTGGAATACCATAAATATTTGTATTTATCTTTAATTTATTTATTTTCATTCATTTTTTATGTCTTTATTTTTTATTTATTTAATGCAAGACTTACAAAAGAGAGAGAATTCTCTGCTGAAATCAAGATAATTACTCAGCGGTAAAAATACATATAGATTTTTTTAATACTGCATGCAGATACTACAAAATATTATTTTATTAAAATAAAATTTACAATGTGAAAGAATTAGAATTATTGAAGATTTAGAAGATTTTCGTCTAACTTGTCGAATCAAATTAACTAGCTTCTTGCTTGATCTTACTTTATTTGCATACGTGTTCTGGTTCGTTATTCTGTAATTTAATCGAAGAGCCGAAACCAATCTATATATAGTATAGATATTTTAGCTTCAGTTTAGTTTACTACTATTAATCTGAGTCGGATATATATTACAAAAGGCGTAAAATGAGATGCTTTGAAACAATTTAATCAGTTTCAATATGGAACGAATGTAATTCGGAATGAAGAATCGATCAACGATGGATTCGTGCTGTTTGCCAATGCAATTTTACTTCAGTTCTCGCAAAATGGTCAAGTTATCGTATACGTTGTTCGGGATTGTGTTTCTGGCACTGGCTGCCAGGGATTTGACTCTTGGGGAATCAATAAATTTAAAACTTATCAAAGCCGTACTTAAGGACAATCTGGAAGGCAATGCTGTCTTTTCGCCTCGAAACTTAATAGATACCATAAAAAGATTTGCTGATATTTCTGGGGGAAACACATCTGCAGAAATACAGAATGTTTTGCTGCTTAAAAGTAATGTGAAGGCCATTACAGACGAAGTACCCGACGATAAAACTGACGAAGTAACTGACGAAATAACTGACGGATTTGACACAACTAGAGAACTAAGAGACGAACTATTTTACGAAACAACTGACGAATTTAGCTTAACAAGAGAACTAAAAGACGAACTAACTTACGAACTAACTGACGATTTTGGCTTAACAAGAGAACTAAAAGACGAACTAACTGACGAAACAACTGAAGAATTTGACACAACTGCAGAACTAATGGGCGAACGAATACACGACATTACTGAAGAATTTGACACAACTGCAGAGCTAAGAGGCGAACGAATTCACAACATAACTGAAGAGCTTAACACAACTGCAGAGCTAAAAGGCGCACGAATTAACAACATAACTGAAGAATTCAACACAGCTGAAGATCTAAAAGGCGACCAAGCTCACGACATAATTGAAGAATTTGACACAACTGCAGAACTAAAAGGCGAACGAACTCACAACATAACTGAAGAATTTGACACAACTGGAGAACTAATAGACGAAAACATTTACGGAAACACTTACGAACAAGCTGACGAACCATTCCGAACTATTGAAGAATATACAGACGAACTTACTTACGAAAACAGTTATGAATACACTTCCGAAATTAACGAAACTTATGAAATAACTGAGGAAATAACTGACGAAATAACTGAGGAAATAACTGACGAAATAACTGACGAAATAACTGACGAAATAACTGACGAAAAACCTGACGAAATAACTGACGAAATAACTGACGAAAGAATTGACGAATATGACTATAGTAGAGACCGATCTGATGATTTGAATGAAACTGAATCTCGCGCTATGTCAGACGTCGCTCCCATTAGCTCTGCTATATTTGCCTCTAGGGAACTTCTTCCTGCTCTGGGAAATACGACGCAAGCAGTTAACTTTAGCGACCCCCAAGGTGCTTTGAAAACCATCAATGATTGGGTAGCAGAACACACTAATGGAAGACTAAAGAGTTTAATCGATAGAGTTGATGCAAACATGAAAATGATCTTGTTATCCACGTCATTCTTCGATGTAGAGTGGAAATATAAATTCGATCCGAAATTCACGAAGAAGGCAAACTTCTATACGAGCCTAACACAATCCGTTCCCGTCGATATGATGAACGTGCGCGGTAAATTTTTCCGGAGATATATCGAAAATATAGACGCCGACGTCTTAGAGCTGCCATTTGCACTAAACAATGTTCAAATGCTAATTCTATTGCCAAGGAAAACTGATGGCATAGACAAGCTTGTTGATGGTTTGACGACGCTCGAGCTGAGTGATCTGAAGTTTAAAGGAAGCCCAAGAAAAGTAATCGATGTTAAGCTGCCCAAGTTCAAAATTAACTCTAAAGCTGATTTGAGGAAATCGTTGCAAAGCCTGGGCGTTCACGATTTGTTCACCAATGCGAGCTTTCCAGGTGTAGCCAATCATGGGGTAATGAAAGTAGATGTTTTAGTACAAAACGTCGCATTGGAAGTGTCGGAGCGTGGCGCCTTATTCCCAATTGTTACATGTTTGTATTTTAAATTGTAGCCTCCAACCTCCAATCAATTCACTGACATATTTATATTTTATGTTCTAGTACCAAAGCGGAAACCTCACAAGTTTGTAGCGGACCATCCATTTGTGTTTCTTATCCGGCTAGACAACGATTTCCTTTACGGAGGACGTGTCAACTTTGTCGATAATTAGGAAATTGTCGAAGTAAAATCGGGAGCACTTACTGAAGCCCACTGAAATCTTTGTCTTTGCTCCCAGAACCTATCAAACCGAATCGCTGAACGAATTTCTAGCTTTAGAGTTGTTGATTAAATCGAATTGATTCAGTGCGTGTTTGTTTTTTAATAATTTAGTAATCATGCCTATCCTTTATTAATTAAGATGGACTTTTGTGTACCATTCGCAGAACGAGCTTACTATAATTTCTATCTGTTCTAACTATCGACGATAATCGATAGTTTCACAGCACTTATCAGTCAAAATGCCTCAAATCTTTTTTATAAGGGTTCATTATTAATTCAGATGGTTTCGTGTATACTAAGGCAGAACGAATTTACTCTTATTTATTTTCTATCGATAATAATCGATAACTTGACAACATTTGTTTAGCGCGCAGCGAGAAGCCTAGACTAGAGGAGCTCTACTTGATTAAACTGAAAATTAAAAACAATAATTTTGTATATAAATAGTAAAAATATCAGATAGAGTAAGATTGAAACAGAGAGGAAGAGAGAAAGAAAGATTCGCCCATTGTTTACAGTAGAGAGCGGGCGCTGCGAATTGCCCAGCTCGCCAGTCACACCTCTGTCCGCAATAATATGCCCGGAAATTCCTTTCAAGCTGAGCTCAGCGTTAGGTCCTTTTGTATCCTTTTGCGCTAGAGCCAAATGAAACGAGCCTGTGGCACATTTACTTCATTTCGCTGCAGCGCTTGCTTATTATTATTTCTGTTATATTTCTGCGCTTTACTCTTATGATGATTATTATCATTTTTTTGCTCTCTCTCTTTCTCTCCCTCCCACTGTCTCTGCTTGCATAATTATTATTTTTGCCGTCTCCGCGCTCTCATTCATATCTCACGAAAGGTCGAGGCAGCTGCTCGCGCTGGTTTGCTGTTTAAAAATTTTCATTTTGCCAGCGGTTGAGTGATGAACAAACTAATTGCTTTTATTTTTTCACATTTTATACACAGCTGTGCGCATGTATCTGTGCGAAAATATTTTTGCAAGCATTTCGCTGGGGCGGCCAACAACTTCATTAACGCAAGGTAAACAAACATTAAGAGGGACTCCCAAGGAGTTGGCTCGAACGGGAGATAGGAGCAGTCGAAGCCAACAGCAGAGGCAGCCAGACAAATAAAGACAAACGGAAGCCAGTCCGGGCCCGGCTGGCAACGCAGCAAAAGTCAGAGCAGAGCAGAGCCTGATGAGCTGCCAGCTAAATGTGTGTGTGTGTGTGTAAGACTCTCTGTGTGTGTGTGTGTGTGTGTGTGTGCTGTGGCAGGCACTTGGACTGAGCACTCAGCAATTTACGACGGAAAAAGCCAACGGCGCGCGCGTTGATTATGCTGATGATGCAGTTGGAGCCGGAGCTGCTGCTGCCGCTGCTGTGGCCAGGACATTTGGCTGTGATATGTCCTGGCTGGCAGCAGCTACCCTCAACTCAACTGCCAGCTGCACTTGCTGCCTGCCACTTTTCACACTCGATCTGGCTGGCATTCGCATTCGCATTCACATTCACATTCGCATTCGCATTTGTGTTTGTCTATTTGTTTATCACTTAAGTGCAAAAAAGGATTCGGGACGCAGGATTGCAGCAATCAGACGCTCTTCCGCTCTCTAAATGTTGCTGCTGCTGCTATTTATTTGTGCTCGCTTTTAAATGAATTAATTCCAAAGCAGCTTCCCGTCTCGGCTCGCCTCACTCCATCCTCCATACTGTCCTCCACACGTTGGCCACATTCTATTTGGCCCCCACATTTTTGGCATATTTCTATGGAGCAGGCTGAGACTTGTTGATTATCGAACATTTCGGGCGGACAGGTAAATGCATTTTATTTAAATTGCGACAAAGCTCGAAAGGCTTTTAATTAAAGAACTTAAAAGGTATTAGATAGAAGAGCTAGTTTTGCATAGCAGGAAAAGGCTTTCAGGGAAGCTAAATATTAAGCTGGATCATCTGCTTAATTTTATTCAGTTATTTTCTGGAGTAAGCATTTGATTATGAATATATTTAAGCTAAATAATAATTCCTTTGTCCTTATATACTTAAAAGTTTAGGATAGTCTAAGGACTTTGTAGTTATCGAGTTATCGGAAACTATCTAAAGTACTTACATGGGTATATAATATAGTAACCTAACTTCTGTTATTTTGTTCTTCTTTTAACGACTGTTCAACAAAATAATATTCAACTTTAGTTTGTATAATTTAGCTAGTTTTAAGTTCCGTTTCTGCTTTTGTTCAGCTCGGCTTGTGGAACTGACCCTTTGCGGGCGATATAAATTTTTTCCGTTTCGAGTTAATCCTCGACTTTGTGCAGCGCACAAATGAATTGTCCATAAACTAATCCACATAAATTCGCAGGCAGCTTCATTTTGAAATTTAAGCCAAGCATTTTATTTCTTTTGTTATTTCAGCTTAGTCTATTTTTCCTTTCTTTTGTTTTTTTTTTGTTTTTTTTAGAGTCCTTTTGCCATTTTTCTATGTCACTTGCATAATTTACATTCTAATTCCGCCGGCTTTTCGCTCCCTATCTCCCTCTCCTTCTCTCCCTCGCTCTTTGACAATGCCAGCGCGTTCTATCTCGCTTTCAATCATTCTCTGTTTCTGTTAAGTTTGGAACAATTCATCTTGCTTATAATGCGAGCGAAGCTCCTACTTTGCCCGGGCATTATTATAACGAGGGGCGCCCTAGACCCGAAAATGATAGTCCCAAAACTATGCAGCACTATCAAATTACGGCAGAGCGAGCGGGAAAGAGAGAAAGAGAGAGAGAGAGAGAGGGAGAGGAAGTGGGAGTGAGTGTTGCTTTAATGTGGCACAAAAGTTGGCTAGTATAACGTCTTTAAGTAACAAAAGCAGACAAGCGAATGGGGAATATGCAATAAAATACAAGAAGACACAAGCGTATACATGCATGTGTGTGTGTGTGTGAGGGAAAAAGCGCGCTCGAGAAAAAAATTTATATATAAAAGCTGAAGTGTAGTGAAAAGTGACAGTGGAAGAGCGAGCAACAGGGAGACAGACAATAATTTACGTAACAGCACGAAAAAAAGAAGAAGGAAAAACGAAGCTGAACAGAACACAAGCACCAGTCAGACATGGTCGTACAGAAAGAGGAGTGGTAGGGGAATGGGGGCGTGGCATACACATGATGATTTGTAGCAACTATGCTTTGCTTTTGCCTGCCTCATCAGCAGCAGCAGCAGCTCGACTGTTTTTCGGGCATATTTGTGGATCTGTCTGGCTGAGTCGAGTGTTTGCCTGTAAAGCGCTCGTTGCCTTCTAAATGTTGATTTAAACGCCGGAGTAGTTTTGCGGCCAGCTTTAAAATGCAATCAACAGTGCGCAGCAAGCTCAGCGCATAAATCAAACCGAATTTGATTGCAGTTCCTGCTGAATTTACTGCGCCTCACTCGGGCTCAATTAGGAACCTGCTCGAGGCAGGTTAGGGAAATATTACTGCCTGGGGCGGCAGCTGCTCCACTTGCCACATAACTTTCAACTGGCGGCGCGTGGAGCACATTTTAATGAGTTTACAAACGCTTGACACATTCGCGGCTACATAAAAACGAGGCAGTTTATACGCACGGCCCACGCTGCGTATGCTCTATATGTACATACATACATACATATTTATGTGTATGTACATCGTTTTATTTTTATGTACATAGCTCGCTTATTAACTGTGTAGGAAGTGCGGTAGGCTGTTAGCTGCTTTGAGAGCCGTTTAATGAACGACTTAACAGTTGGCAGCAAGTCAAGTAGCTAAGGGAGTTGGTACTAAAAGAAAAGATGGCCAAGATGCCGAGGCATATATGAGAAATGTTTGACTTATGGACAGCTATTCTAGAGGATATATAGCAGAAAATATGGAAAACACTGAAATGAGTATATATACATGTAGAATAGTTTAGATATGTAGGAAAACATATTCAAGTACTTATCTTAAAGAAATAGAAGAATAAATAGATATGCAGGAAATATTCGAGTACTTATCCTAAAGAAATAGAAGAATATAAGCCTTGAGCATGTTGAGCAGAAAATATAATCAAGCTAATATTAATAAATAAGCATCAAATATATCAAAAGATGTAAAAACATGTACAGCTAAGCATAGATCATATAGCAATATTTTCAAAGAAGTATAGAAAATTAATATCCTTTTTTTTTACTTTTCAACTTTAAATGCCCATCAAATATGGTAATATCTGATGAAATGGAAAAGTGAAAATGCTTAATTGTATGTAGATTGAAAAATTGCCTTTCCAATGAGGTATATATTATACATTATTATATATTAATATATACCTCATTGGTAAGGTATATAGTATAATTAACAAAAATATCAAGAACATTGAGCATAAGCTGCAAGAACCTCAAATTTGACGGGTTTTTTGGCTAAATCGTCAAATAAAAGACTCTAGCCAATCCGAAAAGCATCCATATAGATGAATTACAGTTGACTATAAAGGCACTTAGGAAACTCATACTACATATATTTTCTTTCTATATCATAATATGTACTCCTGTATGTCCTCAGGCAGAAATTTACCCAAAAATCTAATAGTTTCCGCTTGCACAAAAAATTCAACAAAAATTTAAATCCTTTCAAAAGTTTTATAATCATAATAAATGCACAATAAATAAATATAAAATTTCTACACATTCACAATGCTCTGTGAAGCTGTTCACTAGTTTCTAAAATTGATTATGTCAAATTTTTCAATCTCTAATTTCATTTTTCATTAGCTAATTAAATACTATGCGATTGAATATATGTATACCTGTTGCTATCAACATAGCATCTGCTCTCTCACTCTCTCTCCCTCCCTGTTCTATACCATTTGATAGCTGACATTTAAACAATTTTGCTGACTGGCTCGATTTCAGGCTCAATTAAAAACATTTACACGCCGCATTTTACCGACTTTAAATTTAAGCAATATTATAAAAACACACACACACACACTCGCACACTTTTTATCCTTATCTCATACACTTTCTCTGTCTATCTGAATCTCTATCTCCCTCTCACTCCCTCTC